CTACTGACAGTCCAATGGACTGGACTGGACTGGAACACGTGTTCCAGTGGACTGGACTAACCCAAGTGACAACCCTGCTCTAAGGGTACGCACTTAGATAGATCTGAGTTAATTACATGTGTATTTTCTTGCACACATCTCTAAACACACATTTACTTTGATGTGCACTTAGATGTTTGGCTTTATTATCAACCAATCAAAATTAGCAACATTGTTGTCATTACACTGCCTTCAAATACCTGAGCACAGTATTAATTAATTAAAACTAGACAATAAACCCACTCACATGTGCAATATGTAGTTTATGCTATAAATTATAAACTTAGCGTTAGTGATCCGTCCTTAATGGCAAAATATGCATATCACTGTGCTTTTGGACATTTCTAATGGAAATGACATATTCGACGTGGAAAAGATTCAAGGATATGCCTTAGGAAATCTTCACATTGAATAAAAGATAAATTTTACCGCAGTTAATTCGATTCACACTTTTAGTTTACCTCATTCCATTATTTAATTTGTTACAACTTTTTCTAATGATAAATATTGTATAAAAAGCTTTTATGCAAACGGATATTAAATTATTCATAATGAGGTGCATTGGCTTTTAAAAAGAAAAATCTTATGCTTGAGATTAATAAGTTATGTATCGGTTCCAGAATCCTAATAGCGGAAATCGAAGATATCGACAATTTAATTAAGACAACATAGATTAGAATGGTGATTTTAATGAAGTCTATACAGATACATGGGCAAAGGTAATAAAGGTTGGAGTAATAATGCTTTCTATAAATTATGCGAACAATTGATTGATCTGCAAATTCAATTTACGGAGCTCGGACTTGGAATTTGTTCATATTTTGGAAATGCCTTTTTTGAAACATGCCCAAAATAGCTATGACACAGACCAAGGGCGTTCACCTCCCCAATGGATTTGGTTTGATCAAACAGATCAGATTCTTTATCAAATTCATTGAAAGGGCTGTTTGAAAACGCCCTGAGTTTATATGTAATTAGCAAGGATAATTACAATTTACGGAGTTCGGACTTTGATCTTATTCATTTTTGAGAAATGCCTTTTTTGGACATGTCCAATTTGAAATCGTAGCGACAAAGGCCAACGCTAAGTTTAATTCATATCTGGAAAATGGTTTCTTTGGAATTTTTTAGTAAATGATATTTGATTGTTCGCAAGGAGTTCGGACTTAGAGCTTATTCATATTTGGGAAATGCCTTTCTGGGACATGTCCAATTTACAGGCTGAATCGTATTCATATTTGGGAAATACTTTCTTTGGAAATTACGTGATACATTTTTTGATAAACAAGATCATGGAGTTCGGATTTTAGCGTTAGTGTTTATTCATCTTTGGGGAATGCCCTTTTTGGGCATGCCGGATTTAAAAACGCTGCGCAAGACTTGCAAGTTTACAGCTGTTTTGAAAAAGGTGAAGAATCGGGCAATTCTGATTAGTAAAAATTGAATGTCCGATTAGCACTGACATTGAAAATTCTTTTTTTAGAAATTGCAGAAAAATTGATAAAAAAAAACGCATGTGACAGATTAATTCTTGAAAGTTTAATTTACAGAGTTAAAATTATGAAGTTCGAACTAGTTATTCATATTCAAGAAATGTTTCTTGGATTGATAACCTGTCAATAATCTATATTTATTATTTATATTATACTATTCAAATTTTAATGCGTCTGTCCGCTTTTTCGAATCTGATTGGTCAAATTTAGGTACTCGTGATTTGGGTCATCAGTTGAGCTGTATACAATTTATTGTAATACCCTATTACCACAATATATAGCTCTTTTTATACACATTTAACACACATTTCGGTCTTGATAGATGGTTTTAATAATATCACATAAAGTTTCACTGTCCCTAAACACTATCCGTAGAATTTTTGGTTCGAAAAATAAAAAGTCACGTGATCCACCACTTGGCGGAGCAGAGTTTTTTAATAATTAACTAAAGATAATATTTGCGAACAAATTATAATAATATTATTATTATTAAACGGATACTCCCAGAATTGCACGAAATAATGCGATTTAACTAAATAACTTTTTTGGTGCAAAATTTTGATCGCCACTGCCAAACTAATAGCGCCATTTTTTTTTTTTGCAAAAATTTAAATATTCATTAAAAATAAAGTTTGAAAATTGAGCAAAGCAAATGATCTAAATCAAGTAATATGTACAACTTACATGTTAAATAAATTGATTATTTTTCAATTATTATGTATCATTAAATACGAATGTCTTTACTAGAGAAGATAGAAATAAATATTGAAAAACCTCAAAACGACACAATAAAACTTATTGCTCAAAATAATGCAACCTTTACATATTCGGATCATTTAAGCCCTTCGTACACCCCCGCTAATGAACTTACTTGTGATATTGACTATGACGAATTATTAGAATTAAAATATAAAGCACAAGGCGGCTTTGGTAGGATTTACACGGCACTATGGAGAGAACAACTTGTTGCAGCAAAATTTATTGTTAGAGAAAACTCAAAAGATTTTACCCGCGAGGTTTGTTGAAAGTAATGTGAGGTGTAAATACGAGGTGTAAATAAGTCAATCATGCTTTTCTATTTACATTTAGTTGAGAGCCTTGAGGAAATCTAAAGAATGCGAAGAACATATCATCAAATTCTTCGGATTATCTAAAGGTACAGTACGTATTCCCTGCACTATGATACACTTGACCCTCGTTAATATCAACCGATTTGGATCACTTATGTTCATCATATTAAAAATTGATATATATGAGGGAATTTTTAATATAATATTATTATATAGAATTCATTTTATAGTTTAGGTTGATATTAACGAGGGTTATGTGTACTGCTTTTCATAAAATTTAGTTTGCAGGTATTATGTATAGTAATTATGAAATGCCATAACCAGTTAACGTTACGACAAATTCGCACTTTATTATAAAATTGAAAACCATGCTATACTTAAACTGTAATATTCAAATTTTTTTTATTAATTTTAGATAAAGGAACCGGAGAATATATTTTTGTAATGAAATATGCGGATAGCGGCTCTTTAAAAGATTATCTTACTCAAGAGCTAACATTAGATCACAAGATTTCTTTATGCAAAGATATTATCAAAGGATTGGCATTTTTGCATAAACATAATATAATTCACAGGGATTTAGTAAGCTTTTATTGTCATTTGCTATTTAAGATTAGTTTCGATAGTAGGTTATGTCATTAAAATAACCTTTCTAATCATGTGATAAACTAGCGAAGACCTCATGTATCCACTAATATGATTTTATTAATCGTGTAGCATCCCAATAATGTTCTAATTCATCAAGAAAGAGCTCTTTTGGCGGATTTTGGCCTTTCGAAATCTCTTTTATCAAAAACATTATCAAAAATTCGAGGAATACCCCCTTATGTCGACCCAAGAGTGCTAATCGATGATTCCGATTATCCACATCCACTTGAAGTATCCTATGATATTTATAGCTTTGGTGTGCTAATGTGGGAAATATATACTTGTTCCCCGCCATTTAGTGGTAGAAATTTTTATACTCTAAATTTTCAACTTTGTATGAACGGTTTGAGAGAAAAGCGAATAGTAGGAATGCCTATGGATTACGTAAAAATATATGAAAAATGTTGGAGCAACGATCCTTCAGATAGACCTAACACTACCAGAGTATTGAAAGACCTTGAAAAGTTGAAAAAACAACCGACTGTAACAAAAGATGATATTAAGAATATTCAAGAAGATCATGGTACGATTTCCAGAAAGTAAAATCGCTTTCACCCGCGTAACTACGTTAATAGTTATTACTCAATTACACATTATAATAAGGAGACTATTTTTTATACCCCATATTTGCATACTCCTCTAACAGATCAAAATTTTGAGTGAAGATATCTCAACAACCACTTAACCAAATTCGATGAAAAAAAATTTACTTAAATTCTCTAGACTCATAGAATTCAAATAAAAAAATTTTGATCGAATTTGGTCGAGTGATTGTCAAGATATCTTCGCTCAAAGTTTTAAAAAGAAATTGACACGGCTTCTATTCTGATAGGCGGTTTAAATTTTCTGAAGTTTTGTTAAGGGGTATGAATAACAATGTGGGGGTATAAAAAAAATAGCCCCTATAATAAAAACCAGTTTGCCGTATTGTTTAAGTTACAACAATTCGCCCCCTCCACAATATTTTCTTCTTTTCTAATTTACTTTTGAATTTATTGCTGTTATGGATATAGATTCAAAGCTATCAATAATTACGACCAAAGAACTTGAAAAAGTTAACAGAAATTCAAATGACAACGTTCAACAACGTGAGCCGAAAAATAATGAACTACATAATAAAATCGAGGTAACCGAAACAGCAACAATTTATTAAAGAAATTCTGTTTCTTCTTATCTTTATTATCATCGTGGCATTTCCTTATGTTAATTTTTAATTCAAATAACATTTTGATCCTTTGAATTTATTTTTAATATCTTAGGGAGAAGATGACAAGAACGTAAACTTGGTATTGTGTTGATTTTCATCTTTTTTTTTACTTATTATATTACAGCAGAGGATTGACTCGGTCTATTTTATCGGATAAAGATGATTGAGATGATTGATGACTTGAAAGCAGAAAATCTTGCCATGAAAGCAGAAAGTCGTGCCAAAGATGAAAAGCTCTTGAATATGGAAAACATGATCGGAGAGTTATGCCGAGAATTGAAGAATATCAAAGAACAATTAAGAATGACCGAAGGGTTGAATTGTAACAACTCGGTAGAAATGGACGAGTCGACTAGGGTAACTTCGTCGGTTGACCGTTGAATGACATGTGTATAGCTGATAGTAGAATTAATTTTTATTAATAAAGCTAATTAGTCTGAGATTTTTGACAATTTTTTTTACATCTCGCTTCTCTCGGCCTCTTTTTAAAACCTGTTCTAAAGTTTTATTTTATATTATAACATCTTCACCATTAGTTGATGTCAGAAAGGACGCATCAAACTCATGTAATCTTAGATCTTATCATTGATGCAAATGTCACTGTGAACATTTAAATTTTCGCAAAATGGCACTGAATATGTCCCATGATCTAAAAAAAATTTTTTTCTTGCAAAAAAGTATCGCTTCACACATTATACTCTTGTTTGGTAATAATTTATTAGGGAGGCGATTTTTATTTAACAGTTAAGGAATATGTTAGCACATTATGGCATAGAATGAATAATTGATTGAGAATGGTCAGGAATAGCAAAGACAACCCGAGAAATTTGCGCTGGGAGTCGCCCCAAGATTGACAAGTCTGTGATTTCCCACTTTGCAGAGGCAAGTCGGCTGTGAGCAGAGACATGTAGACCCTAATGAGAGCAGAGAAACGAGAGTGAAGAAATGGCAGGACCATATGATCGTCTGTTTCCCATTGGGTAGGTTGGGAGGGTCGAGGAACTTCCTTGCTTTCGGGGTTGTTTACCGAGGTGACCTTCATTCGTCATTCAGCGTATTTATGCTCCCCTGTCATGCCCCTATTGCTAGTCACTGCATTGTTCTCATGTTACTGGCATATGCTGCTGTGTTTATTCGCATATGATTCTCAACTTTTGATCAATTGCCTTATTGCGGACTTGGTGCGACGTCCAATGATAGTCGTTACATTACCGTAACTATAGTAAGTAATATAGTAAGTTACGGCTATACGTATAAGGATAACTTACTATTAGGGGTCTGCAACCCGGGCTCGTGCCTATGCCCAACAAAAATTCAGGCATGGGCATGGACATGAAAGTTTTGGCATGGGCATGAATGCTAGTATAAAATTTTGGCATAGGCATGGACACAGGCACAAAAATTTGGCATAGGCATGGGCACAGGCATGAAAACTTGGCATGGGCATGGGTATGGGCACAAAAATTTAGTATTTATTAATTAATTATATGTTTGGTACTATTTGGCACTTGTGCCTAACACTTTTTGGCATCTTTTTGCCTAGCATATTGTGCCTATGCCTATAAAGTACCTGGTATTTGTGCTCATGATTATAAAAATGCCTGGCATTTGTGCCCATGCCTATAATAATTTCTGGCACTTTTTAGCCTATAGGTATGAGCATGGCATGAGGCACTAGTGCCAATTTGCCCAGCATGGGCATTTGCAGAATCCTACTTACTATATAACTTACTATAGTACGGCAAGTTACGTAATGTGACTACTATCATTGGGACAATTCTACAGCATCACCAGTGGATACCCTTATGTCTATACTTGTCGCCCAAATTCCAAACTATTATAGTTTGGATTTTTCCGTGCCCAAATTAATATTTCAAAAAGTTTATTAAATATCTTTATTTAAACAAATAATGTATATTCTTATAGCTACATATAATATATTCACAAACTATCAAAATTATTTTATGATTTAATTTTTTATAAAAGTAATTTGTTTTTTGAGTTTGGGATTTGTCTGGGTTTTGCCAGCAAGTATACTTATGTCAAGAAAATTCCGGTCTGAAGATCACTTCCAACCCTAAGAAATTGTAAAAAAAATGTAAATAACATAAAAATTTATTTTGATAACTAACTTTTGACTTCTAAGTAAAAGTTTTTTAAATGAAATTTTACTTATAAAATATGATTGTTAATGTTAGATATATAGAGAATCTTGATATACTATGACTCATATCTTTTTGACTGACAGTTTGGGATTTTCTTGACATAAGGATACAGCTACTGTTATGGCAAGGAGGTGCTTTTATATCTTTCAATCAAATTTTTTTAGTGCTGAAACATTAAATACAAAATTATAACTTACTTTAATAGATAAAGACAAAAGAAATATTCTAAAAGCTTAACTAGTACAAGAAAAAATTCTTTCTTTTATACTAGCCATTAGACTCTAACTAATTATTATACAAAACTTTTTTTTTTTTTATTAAATAATGCTTAAGTAGAAACTTTATTACATATAGAAATATAAGTTCTAAATTTAAAGATTTCTAAACTACATTTGTCTACAATTAGGCACCCAATATGACATTACACCTCCTATTTCCTATAGATATTATAGCTAACTATTTCAAATTAGGTTCTAGCTAGGATAGGTTGAAGAAAACCTTTGAGTGATTGTCTGAATATTAAATTATACAAGTTATTAAAGAGTATTTCTGTAAGAGTCATTTTGTGATTAAGGGTTTGATATTTATAGGTTGAGAAAGAGTTTTAGTATTGTTTAAAGGATTAGATAAAGTTGATAAACTGATTTTGGTACATTTGGATTTTGATATGATGTTGCAAGAGTTTTCCCATTAGTGTTGATATATATTACAGATAGATCAAAGATCTTGGTAATATCAGTTAAATAGATTGTTTGAAAAATAAAGTAGAAAAGTATCTGTTTATTTATTAATAAGTGTTTTGATGTATTCATATATAGTAGTAGAATAAGTTCCAATAATAGTATATAAAATATATTTGTATTAAGGATTTGAGAAATAAAATGTAGAATTTAGAAGGATATTTAATAGAGTTGTTGAAATTATATTAGTAATTTGGAGTGATTGAAGAGTGTCATATATAATGCTTTCAAGTGATTGTAGAATATTTGTAGTATTACTAGAACATGAGAACAAGTAAAGAGTATCTTCAATATTTGTACAGTAGGAACAATAAGATGTAGTATAAAGATAAGAGTAATGAATATTAAGGTTTTGTATAGTAGCTAAGTTATTGGTGAGAATTTAATACAAAAGAAGTATTTTTGTAAGTTATCTTCAAGAAAAGAAATAATTTTAAATAGAAGAAACTATTTAATATTAGTAATATTTTGAAAAAAATTTAAATTTAACCATTTAGCAATTTCTTAAATATTTATAATAGTTTTAATAAAGATGTAAATTTTAAAGAGAATTAGAAGATTGTTCTATAGGAAATGATTTGGAGTATTGAATTTTGAAATATTGAGCTTAATAATAGATTTTGAGGTAACTTGTTTAGTAAATGAATCTGCTTGGTTGTGAAATGAGTCTGTAGAATGTGATTTGACTTTATAAAAAGTGGTAGTAATGTTTTTGGGATGTTTAAGATAATTAATATAGTAAATAATATCACAGTTTTTAGTTTATATAAGTTTGGAAATAATAGATTTTTAATGCCAGTTGTGTTATCAATATAGATATTTAAAGAATTATTAGATGAAACTGCAAATAGAAGATAGAGAACTGCTTCAAGTTCAGTGTGAATTAAGTTAGAATAAGATTGTATAGTTGCATTGAATTTTATTGATGTGTCATATTTGCAAATCCATCCTATATCAGATTTTATATCTGAAGTTTGAAGATTTTTAATTGATCTATCAGTATAAAAATGTAATTTATTTGTATTGTATTGAGAAATAAGATAGTTAAAATCAGTAATTAGTTTTGATATAATGATAAACAAATGAATTGTTGAATAAGTTGGACATCATAGAATGATAAAATTATTTGTAGTTGTAATAAAAAAGGTGGTTGAGAAGAAGTAAAATTAAATATATTGATTAAAGCTAAAATTTTTCTAAATTAATTTAAATGATTGTTTGATCATTTGATTTGTTGGTTAAATTATAAGATAAGTAGAAGGAATAGTAGTTTGATATAGGATAATCAGAAGTTGAAAGAAGCTATATAATACCTAGAGTAGATAAAAAGATTTTGAAAAAAAAAAGTTGTTGAAAAGTGGTTTGATGAGATATATAAAATGATTAATTATTTGTATAATAAAGTTGATAAATGAAAAAAAAGTTTAAAATTAAGTGTGATAATATTAATTTAGTTGTATTAAAAAGATATTTATGAAAGACATATTTAGAGTATACTAAGTTAGATTGATAGGATTAGATTGGTTTAGTTATAGAATTTGGGTAAACTATTGTGGTTGATGACCTTTAGTTGGTTTAGTTGTATATAAATATATGTTGTTCCATAAGAGAATATTTTTGTTATCTGCAGTTGTAATTTGTTCTAAAAAGATAATTTTGTTATTTCTAAGACTATTAATAATAATAATAGATGGGTTAAAAGAAAGAATATTATAAATAGTATGAGAGTTTTTTGGTATTAATGAAGAATAAAGAGATATTTGCAAGTTAGAGATATTTGTAAATTAATTGTAGAGAAGATATTATTTAGAGCAAGTTGAAAAAATGAAAAAGTAAAATATAGTTTTGTGTTTTATAATAGTAATTAATTAAGATATTAGTTTAGAGTTGAGAAGACTATATTTTAGTTAGCTAGCCTTTAATTTGTTGTATATTAATATTTTTAAAAATTGATAGTATATTAAAAATATGTTTAGTATTAGTTACACTAACTTTTTGAATAATATTATTGAAGGATGATAAGTTAAAAGTAAGTGAGTTGGTAAGCATTATATTGTTAGTGTTTTTGGTTAGTGATAGCATTTTTTTAGTATGAGTAGTAAATAGATGAGTAGATTTAGATTGTGTATTTACATGAATTGGAGTAATTTGAAGCAGATATTCTAAAGAGGATTGTAAAATTAAATTAAAGAGTGCTGATATTTGAAAGGGTGTTACTTTTTTGTATTGAATAAGAATAAGAAATTTTTCAATTTTATTTTGGATTTAATTAAAAGTTGGTATAGGAGAACCTCATTATCATAAAAATACCAAGATAGCATATTACATTTTAAGGTTTTCTAAGAAGAATAAGCTGGTTGTTTTTTATAAGAGAAGAAGTTGAGTTTGATGAGAATTTGGATTTGATATGAAGAAGGTCAAATTTGAAAGTGTTGATTTCTATATTATTAAGTTTATATAATATAGAAGTATCATT